CACACACACACACACACACACACACACGAACAGGCATCCACACAGATACAAATAAGGAAAAAAAGATAATCTTTATAGTCATTTTTTTTAATAGAAAGTTCATCTTGGACTTCAGATTTTTCTTTTACATTTCCAAAAACAGTGACACATAGAAGGCTCATGAAGACAAATACTTTCTGTCGTTAAGCCGTTAACTCCCCCTGCTCCTTGAAACCCATGTGCCGTTTGCTTCCTTTTGGCTCACTGAAAATTGCCTCTTGAATCTTATAGTCATGTCTTATCTCCAGCAGCGTTGATCTCTATTGGTTGTACTGCTTTTTAAAACTTTTATTTTATATATATATTTGTGTGTGTGTGTGTGTGTGTGTGTGTGTGTGTGTGTGTGTGTGTGTGTGTGTTTGTGCAGCATAAACATTCAGGTGCCTGTGGAGGTCATAAAAGGGTGTTTGTAGGAACACCTGAACTGGAGTTATAGACTGACTGTGGGTGCTGGGATCTGAACCCAGATCCTCTATAAAAACAGTACACATTCTTTACCACTGAGTAGCCTCCCATTTTTTTTGTTTTGTTTTGTTTTTAGTAAGCCTTGGGATACATTTGACAGATTGTTGCAACACAATTTAGGAGATTTGAGTTCTCACACATCAAGAAGATGATCCTACACTTCTGGCTAATGAGCAGTTCTTCTTGGTCATAGGTTGCCTCCCTCTCAAGCTGAACTTTGGGGTAACTGCAGCCTACACACACAGAGTAGGCTCCATCCCGGCTAGGGAAGGTCCAGCGACCATCCGCTGACGACATAGCACCTGTAATTTAGAGTCCGAACACATGGCTGACAATGGGCTTTGGGACTTATGCTCAAATGTCTTCCTTTTTATTGTCAAAACTGGAAAGCTTAGTACATTGATGATACTTGCATTTCACTCATAAGATAGGAAAAAATATATGAGAAACCATTGGAAATAATTAGTTTTGAGAGAGAAAAATTAGCCAGCTCCCCTCCAGTGTCTTCCTATTGGTTTCTTCACAGTCCCGGCAGCTGCCAGTCAGCTATCAGTGGGTAAAGGGCTCTGAAGCACCAGCCAGGTACTCCTGCTTGCACAGTAAACTTTAACTGGCCACCACATACCTCCTGCATTATTTCTAGACTCCTCTGGGATCATTAGCAGTTACAGAGGTAGATGGAGAACTCGGCCTAGAGTATTCTTCAACGGGTCCTAAAAGTGTTCTCTGACAGCTTGGCTTCAGAAATCCTTGTCCAAGTCCTCATGACTTTTGAAGTCTGCCATTGCTAACGTTATTGTCCCTTCTACAGCATCATTCTATTTCTCTGTATCCTCATAAAGAATCCTAGGTGTTCTGAAAAGCTGCCGAGTGTATTCATCGTCTGAATTAGGTCTTTTTTTTTTTAAATATCTGTTTTCACATGCTAACATCCCCTAACTTCAATGTCATCATTGGAGGCATTCATATAACAACATTTAACGTTGACATCTCCTATCAAAAGCCACCAACATAAACCCTGGCCTTAAAAAGCTATAGCTTGTCTTCATTTTGGTAAAGCTCCACTAAGCAGAGCTCCGCTCATCACTATGGCAACTAATAGAGGCAACAGGTCAACAAACCTGAAATCAGGGTCACCTGCCATGGCGTCAGCAACCGCTCTGAGGGATGTTTACCGTTGATGGCCAATGTTTCTCTCCCTTGTGAGCAGATCAACTGATACAAGTTAGCAAAGGGCAAAAAAAAAAAACTGAACAATTCGTAAAACCTTGCCTTAAGCCAAATGTTCCTGGTAATCCTAATAGGAAAGAAATAAAGAAAAACTGTGCCGACAGCCCAATGAGTTGGGATAGAAGTCAATGGTAGCTAGCTAGAAAAGCATATTTAATAAAAGATAGCCTTGATACAAATACCACTTTTGGAGCAAGTCCTGTGTTCTGGAACACAGGAGAACTTACTCGTTGACGATTTCTAGTGAGCGTGGTTTTTTGGTGCCCGTGGGAGCAGAATGACCACGAGAAGGGTAGCTGCAGCAGAGGCCATGCGACAGCTCACTGCTGAGGTCTGGGAAGGGCTGCATGGCTAATGCAAAGCATTTCCTCCCCAAGGCAATTAAATGAAGGAGAATAGAAAAGGCAAAGGTACTAGCCCAGCTGTGTGGGAATCCAGCTCACAAACATCTCCACCGAGATCTGGGAAGATAACTACAACTGTCCTTTATGTATTCATCGGGACTCATTTAAAATTCACCCTCACGTCCCTTATATAAAGTGGAATAGCACTTTTACATAACCCACACACCACTCCTCCACATGCTTTAATTTGTCTCTAGGTTACTTCCAAAAACTAATACAATGTAAATGCTATGTCATGGTCACATGGCGTAAGGAATCATGATAAAGGAACCGTCCATAGCGGGGTATATAAACACATTTTTTTTCCCTAAATGCTTTCAGTGTGCAGTTGACTGACTCTGTGGAGGCAGAACTCATAGATTTGGAGGGCTGGAGGTCTTAATAGAGTGGAGAGAGGGGGAAGTGGAAGGGAAAGCCGAGGGAAGAAGGAAGAGGGAAAGGGAGGGAGGGAGGAAAGAATGAATTTAACTTGTGAATTTTGCAACTTTTCCTCAATGCC